AGGGCCAGCTTTAGGAAGTGCGGGGCCCAATTCGAACAATTTCGACAGGGCCCCGCAGCAATTTTGGTTGAGCAAAAAAAAAAATAACACCACACACCGCACATAAAAGTTTCAACAGGGGGCCCAGAAACATACAGCTACCTGCCCCGCAAAGCCCAGGAGGTAGCTAACACCCCTCCCACAGCTCAACTCACTCCTCCTGTGGCACACACAATGTTCACTAAACCCCACACCTCCTGGTTCTTTTCCTTAAGCATATCCCTGAAAACTTTGAGAGTGCTACTTTAACTCTCAGTACCCATCCTTAAGGGAATCTAGCTGTGTCTGGGTACTGAGGGACAGACATTTCCAACTTTTTGCTTTTGCAGCAGAGGCTTTTACATTTTGCAGTTTCCTATTTGAATTTTTATAATTAGTTAATTTGAGGAACACCTCATTACAGGTTTCATAGGAGCCAAACTGAATTTGTGTTTTCTTTTTCCTTTTTCTTTGTGTGACATTAACTCGAGGGCAGAGAGATCGAAGAGGCTGGGGGAAGTGTTCCCTCTAAGAGTTTCCTCCTATGAGCAGAATGAATTTTGTGTTGTTCACCAGTACTGAGTTCATGTGGCTTGTTTGGATGTGCCACTGTGGCACCCAAGTTATTAATAAATATCTTATAAACCTCTACCTTTTCCCTCTGCTGCCCTGTCTCCTCCCCTTGCTCCATCAGCTCCCCTGGTGCCTGCTGCCTTCCCCAATGCCTCCCCCACCTTTGCTGTCCTGACTCCTGCCCTTCTCACTGCCTTCAGCCTTCCTGAGACCTGCCCCCCCCCTCCATATATATATATATATATATATATATATATATATATATAAGTGTATAAGGGTTAAGTAGTGATAGGAATAAGTAGTTAAACATCATTGTTTGCTTCTATCTTTTCTTTATTTTTTTTATTATTATCTTTACAATAAATGTGGCTTTTTGCCTTATCCCCCTCATAAGATCCTGCTTGCTTTTATTTGGTACAACACCTTTACCAGCCCCTTACACTGAATGTCACAGCAGGGGTCAAGGGATGCCCAGGCCCAAAGGTCCAGCCTCTCCCTCAGGGCGCACACACCCCAGACTGCCAGAAGCCGGGGGAAGAGGCTCCGCACTGTGTCTGATCCCTGAGGGCAGCGTGCTGGCAAGTGGCAAAGCTCAGAGCCTGTCCCACCCAGCAGAACACTCTGAGCTCCCCGTGCGTGGGAGCAGCCCCGCCCTGTGGCACTAGGAGAGAATTCCCGCCCTCAGAGGGCACCTCTGTGCAGAGCTGCTGGGCAGGCCAGAGAGACGCGGAAACCAGAACACCCCATTGGGGGGCAAGACAGAGCCTTGAGTCAGGCACTTGAGACCACTTGGCACTGGCTAGCCTGTCACAGGGCATTAGTAGAAGCCTTGTACCTAGCTTTGCTAGCTCCATTAGCACATGAGACTCTTAATTTCAGGGTCATGGGTTCAAGCCCCATGGTGGGTGATACCTTCTTTCACTTGCACTTTCAGCCTAGAAGCAATTCATACTACACAGAGCCAAATATTGAAATAATCTGCTATTCTAAAATGTCCATTACTCCTCATGGAATGAGGTTTACTGGGCTGTTGGAATATTGCACGTGTGAAATAATAGGCCTTTTGTTAAGGCACAGGATGGCTATTTTGGGATACTCAGGTATCTCAAGATAGCATTGTAGTGGAGACATAGCCTAGGAGCGTAAAAGAGGATTTTCTGCTCTTTGATTCTATCCCCATCTGCCATCCAAGCAGTCAGGCTGGACTCAGTTCCCAGCCAGCCCAGCTCTTCCCTTTTTTCTACCCCAGCAATTGTCATGATGCAAAGCAGAGAGAAGATGTCAGACCAGGCTGCATGTGGGGCTCTGTGGCACAATAGAACACATGTTGTCTTTCTAACCTATGCTGCTTAGTGTGAGTCAGGCCACTCCTTCAGAGTTCGTGGGTTCAAATCCCACCAGAGTCACTTTAGATACACCCTGATTTGCTGGGTAGCTGTTACCATATAGGTGTGGTGTATGAAGGCACAGACTCCGGCCAGTGCAAGCACAAAATCATTTTATTGCAAGATCACAACTGCCTTTTATACCCTTAAAAGTTTACAAACTGCTTTTTCACAAACTGCTTTTTCCCAGTCACAAACACAGCACTCTCGAAGGTCATTGACTCAGGCAGATGTTGTTATTGTTGGCTCAGGACTCTTGCTTGGTTTCATCCTTGGGACGCTCTGTCATGCGGCCAAAGCACTATGCTTGCTGATTCTCTACATCTCCCCCTCTTTTATACAAAGCAATACCATTAATAAGTAACATTGTCATTACACGAGCCTCAACTTTCTGAGCAGAACGAATACAAGAAAAAAATAAAGAAAGAATTATAAAAAGCACAATAAGAAGCCCACTAGCAAGTCCAATAAACACCCACATGCACAAATTTAATCCAGAAAACCACGTAGTAGGATTAAGCCAAGATAAATCAGATTGCAAAGTAGCAAAAACCTTTTGTGTGGTTAATTCTTGCAATTGCTGAATTTGGTTCTTTAATTGAACATGCAAAGAATTAACATGAGAACATAAAGAAACATCAAAGGCACCCTGTAAATGGTGTTTAACAAGGTTTCAATCATGAACTGATGAATTCCAGGGGAGGGATGTCACACAGAGACCTCCAGCAGTGTGCTCCCAATCACAATGCAGAGACAACCTAGTCTTTAAGGCTGCATGCCTATCACCAAGCCAAATGACTGCGGCTTCTAGGGCCTCAAGCCGCGCCAATATCTCTTCATCAATGGTCTG